TCGAGCAACGAAGTCCTGGGACGAGGGGACCTGAGTCTGGCGCCGATGGTGAGCATGAGTCTTCAGGAAGGCATCGAGGAAGGCAGCGCAGGCAACGTCGCGGTCGAGCCCCCAAGAAGGCCCCATCAGACAGAGACATGTAAGCCATGTATCTCGGTGCTGCCACAGCTCCCTCCGCGGCGCGGGTAAGGCTTCCAACCCTGGGAGACGGCGCAGTGCAAGGTCACGGAAACGATCGCAATTTTGTAGTGGAGTAGGTCATCAGGGGCCACACAACCAAAGCAGCATCAACGGTCATTCGCATGAAAACGCGCCGAAGTACATGCGTCCCTGGACAGTGCGCGGAGAACGTTGGTAGCGAGATGAGTGCACGTGGCACGCTCCACGGCGCGCATTCTAGTCCGCAGACGGAACATATCCGAGGGAGGCTGCAACTAACCGCCGCGATGCCCGCACACCCAGACACAGTAAGGGAGTGGCAGTCATACGAACCGAACGTAAGTGACGATGGACCTTGGCCTGGATAGAACGGGCTGTTCGATCAATGGGGGAGTTCACAAGGTCCGCCGCATCCTCATTCGTCGTGCGCATCATCGAATGGCACCACCACCCAGAAAACATACGAGCAGGGATAAATTCATCATTGGTCAAGCCACCCGCTAACTCATATAGAGCATAGCCTAACGCCCTGCACCGCACCACCACCCGAAATTTCGTAGCTTTAGCATGCAGCCCCAGGTCCACGAACTCAAGGGAGATCCCCAGGTCCCGTAGCTGAGTGAGCATACTGTAATTCAACGCATGCCGAGGCCCCGCGGTAAGGATCTGCAAAGCTTCCCTATGCTGACGCCGAACCGAGGGGGTGACCCGCACCAGCTGAATCCGATACTGCAAGACGGAGAGGCAATTAGAGTGGAACAGGCGGATAGTGGTCGCCAAGCCCGGCGAGAGAGAGCGGAGAAGACGAACTCGCTGCCAGAACTTATTCATCGTTTCCACCCGGGCCACCTCGCGGGCCGACGGGCCCGCCCAGAATCCGAGGCGCAAAACTCTGGTGGCGAAACGGACAGAAGCAAAACGGCTACCCTTCCGAGCCATGTGGGCAGCGAGGGCATCTCCATCCAGCGTCCCGCAGATCAGGGCGTAACATTTCCCCACATTCAAAGAGAGACCAATCGCGGACGAGAGCAAGTCGAGAAGCAGCAAGGTGGGCATGAGATCGATGAGAATGTCACGTAGTCCAAAACAACAGTCATCAGCATACGCCAATTGGACGCCCACACGTTCGACGCGGCGGGCACGGATCCAGCGCAGCACAAGGCCAAGGGCCAGAGCAAAGAGGGTCATGGACGCAGGACCACCCTGCCGTGCATCTCGTTCCACAGGGAAAACCGTTTCAGCAGCGCCCTCAAAACAGACGAGGGCCGCATTGTTGGCATACAGGGCTCGGAAGAACCCCCCCGTCTCGCCGGGAACCCCCATAGCCGCCAACGCGGCAAAAATCCACTCAGCCATGATCGAAGGGAACGCCGCCTTGAAATCGATGAATAAGACACCTGCTTTATCCCTCCCACACATGTGTTGAATAAGGCCCCATTTTTCCACCTCGACAACATTGTCCAGACTGTTGCGCCCTCGAACCCCACCTCGCTGGGAGGCACCCACCGTCGCAGGAGCGACGTCGTTGAGTCCGAGACAGAAAGCATCGGAGAGGATCTTCGCATCCGTGTTCGAGAGGGAGAGCGGGCGGGTGGAGGCAGGTGCACGTGAGACAAAGTCACTCCGATCACGTGGGCCACTGCCCTTCGGGAGGAAGACCATGCGACTAACTCGACACTCAGGGGGGAGTGCATCCCCTGCGCTGTTGAAAACCTCCTCGTAAACCTCGAACAAAGCAGCGGTCGCCTCAGGGACCTTCCAGCATCCATGCGGGATCCCATCAGGACCAGGAGCAGAATGAAGCTTATGGCCGACACGGTCCCGAAATTCGTCAACGTCAAGTTTCCATCGAGGGGCAGGAGTACTGCCGTCAGTAGTCTGAACGTGGGCCAAAATTTCTTGCCAATGAGTCGGATCGTGATCAGCCTGGGCAAAGACCTTACTCCAATGGGCCACCAGAGCCGCAGTAGCCGCTTCTGGGGAGGCACACGGGGTCCCGTCCTCGTCCAAGACGCCTAGCAGCCCAGTCCTCCTCCTCATGAGATCCCACCCGCGCCGAAGATCATCCACCTGGTTACTATGATCCAACTCCTCCAGCTCCGCATCAAACCAACGCCCCTTCAAGGTCAGTACCAAACTGCGGAGGCCATCAGGATCAATGCACACACCGCTGTCGACGTCGAAGAAAGGCAGGAGAGAGGCGTAGCAACGAATGGCACGAATACAGAGATACCACTGCCGACCCCGCCACCCACGGTATGCCCTGAAAGCAAAGTGGAGCCGCTCCACATCGTTGGCCGCTGGGCGACACTTAAGGGACTTCTTAAATTCCACAACAGCCGTACCGAAAACTTCTTTGACCCGTGCGAGTTTCTGGGCAGGGTCCGACGGGGGCGTCAGCCCCCGCAGCTGTTCGGAAACCATCCTGTGATAGTCGGCATGCTGGCTGATCCATTTCGGAACCGAGAACCGACCCCTCGGGGTCGGGAGGGAAACCGCGGCAGCAACGGGAATGTGATCGGAAGAGGCCCCTGGATGCATGAGGGTGCCAACAGCGTTGACAACGACGGTCATCTCATTGAGAATACCTGCAGGAAGGGTCGCGTAAGTCCGATCTAATCTGGCCAACCCCCTCAGTTCCCGATTCACAATATCCCTGCGGGTCGGGTCGGGCTGGTATAATTCACACCAGTGGCTACAATGTTCCTGAAAAGCATCGCATTGCATGCGGTCCCCAGGCCCAATCTCCCCTGAGACAAGAGACCTGCCATCCTCCATCGTGCAGAAATTCCAATCTCCCAGAATGACAACCATAGTATGCGCTGCCGCAGGAAGGGCGGCATTGATGAGGCGTAAGTACTGATGATAGGTATGGACGTCGTCGCACGTGTTAGGCATATCCAGGTCGCCTCGAGGTCCCCGACCATGGACGAGTAAAACCCGCCCATGAACGACCGTAATCGGAGCGATCGAGTCGAAACAGTCACATAGATCCGAAGACAGGAACGCCACCACCCCACCCGCGTTCCGATCATCCAGGAAGCTCCCAAAAAATTGCCCAGTCCGCATTTCGTCCCGAAGGATAACCCAGTCTGCTTCAGATCCGTGCGTCTCCTGTAAACACATGACCTGATACTGTAAGAGCAGCTGCTTAGCCCGAAGGAAGCGTGAACGTGACCGAGATGAACAAGACGAGAGAGAGGCAAAGAGCGCGCGTGTTCCAACTGCAGAGGGGCAGAGGACGGGCAGGACGGTAGACTCCACCAGCTTCCCCAGCAGGCGGCGAGAAGGATAATGCACTGTCACTTGCATGGTCTGCACCAAAATTGGCAGGGAGGGCGGGCGAGCACTCAGTAGCCGGACCCACTGGACTTCTCCCCGCCGCCCACTCACCTGTCGAGCCGTTCCGATACTCACCGAAAGGGGCGAATCTCTGCAAACCTGGCGTGCAGACGCTGTGCGTGTTGCTGCCCACCCACTTCCGTCAACCCATCGATTTCGACGCCACACTGGGCGGTGCCCGCAGCGGGGCCATCATCGACAATAGAAATCTTCACAACCTGCACGGGGACCCCGTTGTCCTTCATCGCATAAATCGCACCTCCTAGTCCCGTCGACCCAACCTTGTCCGCCCCAAAGATTCAGGAGACATGCTGGCGCATGTTCCCAAGATAGTAGAACAGCTTCCTGGGCGAGGGGGGAGATCACGTCGAACCCGTAGCTGCAAGTCAGGACCGCCCTCGGGGTTCGGGAAGGGGAACGCGCCCACGGACGAGGCCATCCCGTGGAAAGTGGAGGCCTCTAGGTTAGAATCAGAGCCCAGGAACACCTTCGTACTGCAATCGTAGGCCTTGACCTGAATCGAACCCTGAGTCGAAGACGGAGCACAGCGGGCGAGGATGCTCTGGACTGCCTCGCGGAGCGTTTTCTCCATCAACGGCCGAGGGAACCCAAGCACCACAAGACGCGAGGGGTTGCCCACGAGACCAGAGTCGATCTTCCGACGAACTTGCCTGTCATCATCCCCACGAGGTGTCGGGGTCCCCGGATCGGCATTCCGAAGGTCCTGGATCTCATCGCGCATCGTCTGGATCATTCCCTTGAGCTCTTCACGAATGGCGGATTCTGCGGTTTCTCGGTCCTGAATGCACTGAAGAAGAGCCTGTTCATGGATCGCTCGCATCTGCTCGAAGTTTGCAGCCGTCTGTTTGGCCAACTCAGTGTGCGCCTGTTGTAATGTCTGGAAATTCTTCTCAGCGGCGATCATCTGACCCTGGATTCCCGAAATCTGCTGGTTGATCTCCTGAACGCCGAGATTCAACTGACTGGACAGGCTTGCGACTGACGACGACAGAGGAGCAATCATATTACGCATGGCGGCAAGGATCTGCTCGGTGTCCCGTTTACCCTCCAAGCTGGTACCTCCAGGCGCCGGCGGGGGCGTACTCATCCCTCCAGGGGAGGCAGGAGGAGTGGACGAGAGAGACACAGGCCACGAGTCGCCGCCCTCGGACGGCACTGCGGGAGGAGAGCCGCAGGCACGAGGGAGCGCAGCCACGGCGGGCCAGGGGAGCGCGTCCGCTCCCGGCCTTGGTGCCTGGCCACCAGGCGCCTTGAGCCAAAATGGCTTGAGCCAAAATGGCTTGAGCCAAAATGGCTACGGAAGGAGGAGGGAGGAGGAGGAGGAGGAGGAGGAGGAGGAGGAGGGAGGAGGAGGAGGAGGAGGAGGAGGGAGGAGGAGGAGGAGGAGGAGGAGGAGCAGGGAGGAGGAGCAGGGAGGAGGAACATGGAGGTGGAGGTTGGAGCAGGAGGGGGGAGGAGGCTGTTCGCCGCTCGCGGTCCGCCGCCGTGCTGCGGGGTGGGCGCCCAGCCTCCGCCGCCGGGCCCGCGCGGCGGCGCCCTGCGCTCCTGGGGCCACCTTCGGGAGAAACCCGGCGCACACCACGCGCGCCACGCGGTCGGCCAGGGGGCCCCCCTCGGCACGGGCGCCCCGGCGGCCCGACTCCTCCGTGGAGTTCCTCGGCCCCTTGGCCGACCAGGCGGCGCGGTGGATGCATCGAGAGGAGGAGGAGGAGGAGGAGGAGGAGGAGGAGGAGGAGGAGGAGGAGGAGGAGGAGGAGGGGGAGGAGGAGGAAGCGGAATAGACATAGCATGAGGGCGAGTCCTGGTGTCACCTACGTTCGGAGTGCAAACCGTACGGCACCTGTGACACCGCGTGGCAGATTCGTATGTATGGAAGCCGTCTAGAGGGACGCCATCTTTGGATGTGTGACAGATGTGAAAGACGAGCGCCGTGGCTTCGACAGCCTGGCGACGAGAGATCTCGCAGTCAGGCGTGCCATAATCCTCCGCGCTCCCAAGGCCAAGCCAGCAGAGAGGGTCCAACGGAAAGACGAGCCGCGTCCAGCTGAAAGCGACATGGTGGCGGAGCCGCATACACGTAAAATAATGCGAGATCTGCTCCTTGCAGCGAAGACAGCCAAACAAACCGTCACGCTGATGCAGCGACACATGCATTTGCCCGCTCGTGGTCCACTCTCCACTGATCGTCTTCAAAACAGCCCAGCGCCAGCTGGGGCGCACAAGCAGGAGGGTGGCCTTGAGAAGTTCCCATCTCTGGCGGAGGCCGGGCGGGCATGGAAATTGACACTTTCTGAGCCGACGGCCAATCAAGCGATGGAGCCGATCAGGAAACAACAACTCTCTCAGACGACGACCGACGGCACGCTGGATCTTCGACTCGGCCAGCATCTCGGGCCTGACGCTCCTCGATCCTCCCCGCCCGTCTGGCCTGATCCCAGTCTCTGACTGAGAGAGGCGGGGGGGCGGATCTGCTGAGCGTGTCGCAGTACTGCACTGTCGCCTTCGGGAGGCGCCCAAACTTGGGCGACCACACGTTGACGGCCCAGTCGGTGGCGTCAAGCGTGTACCCACGTGCATCATCTGCGGCCGTCTGGAGGCTGTAAAACGTGGGCTGCCAGTCGGGGGCAGTATGGGAGCAAATGCGCCACGCCGACGAGAGCGAGAGCACGAGGATAGACGAGGGGGCAGCAGAGAACCAGAGGCCAAGAGACAGAAATTCTGACAGGCTGAAAGAGTTGGGGGCAGACGGAAAAGCTTATGGAGAGCGAGGGCCTCACGCTTTAAAACCTTAGGCGAAGGGGGGGACAACTGGGACAGGTAGCTCAGTGTGCTGGTGGCGTACATCTTGTACTGGAAAGCGAGAAGGTGAGGAGAGGCTCGCGAGGAGGGAAGATCGATCGTACGATGCCGAGCCCATTGTCTTTCTAACTCGGCTGCTGGGCCGAACTTGATGCCGAGGTACTGGGTGGAGCCTTGCACGTCGAAGGAGCTGCAAGCAGGGACATGCGTGTGCAACCATTGCTTCACATCCTCACGTGCTGCAGGCGTGCATTCATCTCACAGGGGAGCAAAACAGCATTTGTTAGCCTGAAGCTGAAGGAGGGCGTGCTCTTTGATGGCAGCAAGGACGAGGAGAGGGAGGAGGAGGAGGAGGAGGAGGAGGAGGAGGAGGAGGAGAAGGAGGAGGAGGAGGAGGAGGGGAGGAGGAGCAGGAGGAGGAGGATCTCCGGACCGAGCCTTCCTCAGGAGCCTTGAGGCGGGGGTCAGGCAGAGCGCCAGATCTTGCAGGATCCTGCAGAGCCAGGGTTGCATTGGCTCGGGCTTGCGCGCAAAATCCCTAGGATCTTGCAAGATCCAGGTCAGTAGATTCCCGATTCCCGGCCACGCCCAGGCATCCTGCGGTTGGTGGTTGTTCGACGCGTGGGCGCCCAGGGGCCTCTCGACCCCTTCCTAGGGCCTGGGTTTCGTCCCGAGTAGATTTTACATAAGGACGGCCCCGAGGACCGAGGCTGGCCTCCAGAGGTAAAGCAAATCGACGAACTGTCCGCCTCGGCTTTTTCGAGGCGCCAGATGACTGGGCACGTAGAAGGGCCCTGGGTCAGAGTTAGCGGGCCGCAGGGGGAGCAAATCCAAGCGCGCAAGCCAGTGCTGGTGCAACCTCTAGGGACCCGCACCATGAAGGCAACTTCGGCCAAAGGTCACTCTTGAGCGTAGTTGTCCGAACCTCTCGGTGGTATGTACTCGAAGACCTGCGGAAACTGCGGGGGGGCTGGGCCAAGCTAAGTGAGGGATCATATCCGCCAGACGTTTTTGCATCACCGTTCGCTCTTTGGAGCTTTGGCGTTCAACTCTTTTTACGTTGCTGAGAGACTTGGTGGTCAGAGTTCTGAACGTCACTGCTTGATCTTGGGAGCCTTCGAAATCCAAATGTTACGTTTACGTCGTTGTTCGCTCTTGGGGGCCTCTTGAGAGGCTCTTGCAAACATATTGAGGGCCTCGTGGGGGCCTCTTGCGGCTCCTTGGGGCCTGACCTCCTTGAACCGTCTTGGGGGGCTTTGGCCAGCTTGGGGCGCTCTTGGGCGCCTCTTGTGGCACTCTTGGGGCTCTCCTGGGAGCCTCTTGAGGTTCTGTGGGACCCTCCTCGGGCCGTCATCAGGCTCTCTTAGCCTGTTTTGAGGCCCTGTTGGGCCGTCTTGAGACTTTCTTG